ATGCCGCAGGATAAAATGCCGCAGTTAACATGTTTGCTGAACAATTTTATAATCCCTGCTGTCTTATATGTGTATCTACAAAATGCGTCATCTTTTGCAGGTGTTAGACATTGTTACGAACTGGGTGCGCAGCTGAATGTAAAGTTAATCTAGCGTTCTGCGGCTGTCGACATAAGCTGCCTTTCGAAGTTACGATGAGATGGATTCTTGACGTAAGAAAGTTCTGACAGTATTATATAAGCTCTCGAGACTAGCAAATAAAGCTTTACAAAGTAATTTCACAAGACAGATTATAAATCAGAATCAATCCGATATTTAATCCCTCGTCTCAATATATTACATACTTACTGAAATAACCTGTTGAAATTGTGGCCAACAAAACAACATAGATAAACGTGTCAACCTGGGTTTTTGTTCTTTGGTGTAAAACAACTTTTTATTGCACGCGTAACGGAAAAGCACGTATGAATTTGGACCCTTTCTGCCCAAACTGACAGCGTACCGTTTGTTTATACAGGATACAAAATGTTTATTTGATTCTATTCCTAGCTATTTAGGTAAACAATGATAGCAACGACACAGAGAAAGATTTTCTATAAACCCACCTTTCTTTCGTTTACAATTTTTTTTCATTAACTATGACCCAAGGTAAGAAGATGTGATGACTATAGTATTTCTATCTGTTTGAGTGAAAAAAGAACTATAAATTCACGTGAGCGTGCGATGATTTTGCACGATCAGACATAGCTTCTCCCAGAAGGCTGCTCGCACCAAGTCCCTCTCTTCAATTTCGCTCGCCGTGTTTGCGCTCCGCCACAAACTTACCGAACTGCTGGAAGAGGGTAATCAAATTGCGTCTCTCCATGCCTTTTGGAACATAGAGTCAGTATAAAAATCAAGTCTGCGTCTGAGTTCTGTTACGCCATGAAATGGATAATCAGAGAAAACAAGACGTAATTCTCAAGTAGATCACAGCTAAATATTCACCTGCGCAGCAAGAAATGGGTAATACAGAATAAAATGAGGGAAATATACTAATAATAAAAGGTTTCGTATAACACTTTAGAGGGAAAATAAGCGATGTGAAAAGTGAACGACATTTCGATGACTCCATCTCATCATTATCAAGTTCGAAATACATGATAGAATTGAATAAATATAAATAATAAAAATAGTGTGAAAATAATTAGGGAATTAAAAGGGTGTTAAAGTATTCCATTGTTATTTAAAGAGTTTGGCGCGAACTGAATCTGACTGCGTGTTAAGTTTTGGTTTAATGTTCCTGATGAACAGCATCTCCGTAGATCAAGCAGTCAAACTTTGTGCGGCATTTCTTTAAAACTATAAATTGGTCTTGTAGATTAGTTGCTTGCAACTTGTGTTCTTCTTTCAGGTGTTTACCAATAGCAGAATGTTTATGTTTGGCGATGCGTTGAAAGATATGTCGGGATGTACATCCAACATATAAGCCACACTTGTCACGTTATAAATGGTTCAGTTCGCGTCTTATTTAATCCGCGGTTGTAACTGCAATTGTCAACCATTTCACCTGTAAATATGGATCCGGAATCGTCTTACTAGAGTATGTTGCGTCCGCAGATGATGTTCACATAAAATATTTTCATCGCCGACAACCGCCGACAACTGCCAGCTTGCCTGTGAAGTTGAACTCGGCTCAACTTCGCAGGCAAGCCGGCGGTCAATGCCTGGGACAGATTATGATTCGGCAATAAATGTACACGTATGCCGTAACGGTGTCCCAGGTATGTCGGCGGCATATGAGAACCAGGCTTAACCGCGCGCTTGCGATGTTGGCAAAGATGGCTTCCGTCACGGAATATTTCAGCTTTGGAAATATACTTCTTGTCATACTGATGGCGTTCATGGCGTACCAGATGATCGAGTTGTACCAGTTCAGAGATATGCCGCCTGGCCCACGATTCACCAATCTCCCGCTGATCGGAAACCTTTTCAGTTTCAACTTTGATGGCGAGATCTTTCAAGATGTAGTTGCAAGGTAGGTTAGTTATCTTTTCAAAATGATAATTGCATGAGCCTTGTGAGCGACCTGTTTATTCGTTCTTCTTTGTAGTCCACTTCGTGATTTGAATTGATGCTTTTAATGTTTCTTTCGAAACTCCAGTTGCTGCGCTACAGTTAATATCAAGATCTATCGGAAGTTCTACTGTTAACGTGATGAATGGTAAATGCGAGACTTTGCCATGAGGCGAGACAAGCGGTTTTGTTTGCGAGCCCGAGACATTTTCACTTATTCAATTACGAACTGAGACTTTAAAGAGTTTAAAATGCGAGCTCGAGACGTTCAGCTCGAAGACGTTCGGATTTCACTTATAAAACTGAATAACAAACAAATCATTGCTTCGAGACTTTCTCAGTCTTGCAAAAAATCGAGACTGCAAGACGACTTTGTGAAAAAAATCGAGACAGCAAGATGTACATAACCGCTCAATAAACGAGATTGCGAGACCCGTGAAGTTGTTAGTGAATATTCAACGATAACAGCAGGGGTGGCGAATGGTCCTTCAAAAAGTATGCGAAATTTTCGTCTGACTAGCAATCACTGATCAAAATGCTCTGCCGCGTGACACTAACAAATGATAGATGCTCAGCAAGATATTGTGTCCTGAGTATCATTATTTGACCTCGCAGACAAATTTCTTGCTTGAAGTGCTCGAAATAGCCATGTTAACTAAGATAACTTAATTAGGATCTTTTCTCTAAATTATAATCACACAACGTGTTGCTAAATTGAACGACGCAACTTGAATATATCAACGACCGTCATCCAAAGTTTTAACTTCAATTTAAAAATTTCATGTTCTGTGATTTCAACATTTGGATAAAATAGTCACACTGCAAAAACGTTTGATGTTATGAAAGTTATTTTCTAAAGTTTAATTTCTTTCTGCAGTCTCATGCCCTCAGGGAATTAAAATATCCTTTTAAAATTTGCAATACCATTGGTCACGGTTTATTAAATTTCATCGTTCAAAGACAGTCTGTCAAATCCAACTCCGATAAAAGATCTCGACGGCCCTATATGCAGGTCCAAACTAATGCGGTTGTAAACGCATACTTTTTGATGCGTTTTCGCCTGTTGTCCACAACAAAACGCCCGGATTAAAACGGTGAATGAAAACCCGTTAGCGGGGAAAGGTGAAATCAAATTAAAACGAAAAGGCTAGTGTGGGCGAAAACATTTTCTTCATTTTGGCATAGGAAAACTGATACGTTTAAAAGCCGCACATCTGGGCCTAAGTTTTTTTGTCTTAACATAATTACAATCTGCAATCTTACGCCGTAAACGACCCGAGTCCCGTTAGACGGGCCTCAATAGAAATAGCGAGTTAAAGTTGAATAANTCGGTTTAACCTTTTTTCCAATTAATTCATCTTTCGTGTTTTTTTTTTCTAGCACCGGGCATGACTATTACAGATGGTAAGTTTGGCATCAATATTACTATTACTACTCTTCATTTTTTTTTTTTTTTTTTTTTGTTAATTTTTAGTAAAGATTTACTACAATGGTGCACAAAATAGTAAATATTCCATTGAATCTTTCGGAATTGGTGTAACGAGGGTTTTAGTGTCTAAAATTTCTCAGATCCGTGCCCCAAATAAACCATTCCGTGCACTAAATTTGACCAAGAGACGATGGTCTTTTAATTTGACTCCTTGGTGTTTATTTCCTTGCAGCCTGAGAAGTAAATACGGACGACTATTCTCCCTGAAACTCGGAAGCTACAAGCTTGTTGTCGCTGGCTCATCGGGGGCCGTCAGGGAGGTTTTGGTAACGAGATCAGCCAAATTCTGTGGTAGACCTAAGACACACGCCTTGGAAGTGTTGAGCAAAGGTAAGTTATGCCCACTCTTATTTCTTGCAAAGCGCGCGGAGCCTCACGCTAAAAGTTAGACACAATTTTACTATGTTAAGAGCTCAAACAGGAACAGGAGTATTCTTTGCATGCATGGTGGTAACTTGGTGGAGACACTGGCCCTTTTGATCACAGGCGACCCAAGCTCTCTCTGCGAGGAGTTTTTTTTTTTTTTTTTTTTTTTTGTTAATTTTTAGTAAAGATTTACTACAATGGTGCACAAAATAGTAAATATTCCATTGAATCTTTCGGAATTGGTGTAACGAGGGTTTTAGTGTCTAAAATTTCTCAGATCCGTGCCCCAAATAAACCATTCCGTGCACTAAATTTGACCAAGAGACGATGGTCTTTTAATTTGACTCCTTGGTGTTTATTTCCTTGCAGCCTGAGAAGTAAATACGGACGACTATTCTCCCTGAAACTCGGAAGCTACAAGCTTGTTGTCGCTGGCTCATCGGGGGCCGTCAGGGAGGTTTTGGTAACGAGATCAGCCAAATTCTGTGGTAGACCTAAGACACACGCCTTGGAAGTGTTGAGCAAAGGTAAGTTATGCCCACTCTTATTTCTTGCAAAGCGCGCGGAGCCTCACGCTAAAAGTTAGACACAATTTTACTATGTTAAGAGCTCAAACAGGAACAGGAGTATTCTTTGCATGCATGGTGGTAACTTGGTGGAGACACTGGCCCTTTTGATCACAGGCGACCCAAGCTCTCTCTGCGAGGAGTTTTTTTTTTTTTTTCCTTTACTTTTAAAGCGAACGTTCAGCGTAACGTGACATATGGCAATATGGCATGTACTATTACATAACGACCGAATTTGACCACGCGAAACGTGACTCTGGCCTTAAAGCATATGGATGTGTTGTGTTACAACGGTTTGAATTTATAAAGGTTTGTATGGGAATGCAACTGTTTTGCTTGAAAAGTCAATTATTCTTATATTTTGTGAATAAAATCTACTTACCCTGTTGCTGTGTTGTATTCTTTGTTTGCCAGCTGCTCAGGCCGATCTAACGCGATTTCGGCGAGTTATCGTTCTGTGGGTCTCCACTATAAAAGAAAGACAAGTCCGGACACTGATTTCTGTAGTGCCCGCCGCTCGAAGCGAATAAATCCACTGAAAATAACGTTTAACCCTGCTGGCTCAATTCCTCCGTAGAATCGAGAAAGAGATGTTGAAGTTCCATGGCAGTTCACTCGCTGCGCAATTACGTCCACAACGCCTTCGCTACGAAACATTTATTTCGAGATTGCTTCGCTCCCAAATTCGAAAAACAGCCGCTTCACAAAAGTTAGGACACTTTCGCGGTTCGCATAGTACGTCGGATAACTATAATTAGCCCAACCTGGGGTAGTCAGTAACGATTTGTCAACACGCTAACCAAAATGCTCCCCGGGTACCCTCGTGGTTTATTTGACAAACCCACCAAGAGGCGCATTGTTACCATCGGCCAATCAAAATCAAGTTGAGTCGTGTTTACAAAAGAAAGATCTCACAAACTCAGAGGAAACCCATTACATCCAGTCGGCAATCATTAAGCTTATTCTTTTCAGAATAGTCAAAAAAAAAAAGAAAGAAAGANAAAAAAAAAAAAAAAAAAACTCCTCGCAGAGAGAGCTTGGGTCGCCTGTGTTTTGATCCGTGGATCTAAGATTCGATAAGTCTACTGTTGCCTTAAGAATCTGAAAAAGACAATATTTTGAGAACATTAGAACGCCTATATAATGGCCCCTTGGTTATAAGATTTCACTTACAGGGTACATAAACGTTGCAGTGATTTTTCAACAATCCACGGAAAAGAGAAGGGGTTATACCTAAGTGGGCAAAACATTCCCCACAATTGGACGAAACGGAAGAAATTAAAACATGCGAGAAAGGAAAAGTGAAACTGCGACCTCAACGATCTACGATAAACTGCAACAAACCAGTGGTTGGAAGTAGTAAACATTTTTTTGCTCATGCTGTCTTGTAACTGGTAAGATAGTTGTACTCAAATTAATTCGCTATTTATTTCTTTTATTCCGTATAAGGTTACAAGGACGTAGCTTTCAGCGATGGTTGGACTTGGAAATACCACAAACGTATTCTGGTCTCTACTTTAAGGCAACACCTCACCAACACACCTTTAATCGAGGAACGCGTGACTCAAGCAGCTGGAAAACTGTTGCAGTTGTTTGACGAACAAGAAGAGAATAGTTTTGATCCCGCTCAACTCTTGAATCAGAGTATCGTAGAAGTATTAGGAAGAATAATATTCGGCAATTACTGGGATATTACCAACCCTAACATTGACAAATAGGACGCCGCGTTTGCCCGGGAGAGGCTCTGGCTAAACTGGAAATGTTTGTGTTCCTATCATGGATGCTGAGCAAGTTTACGTTTCTTCCAGAAGAAGGACAAGAACCTCCTGAAATAAAGCATCGAAGGGCTATCACTCAGTACCCTGCACCCTTCAAGATAAGAGCGATAAAGAGAAATTAGAGTAATCACACGGATTTAACAGTTGCAAAATGTTTTGTGCTTATCTCAGCATCCCACTCGAGCTCCTCTCAAGATAAAAGCAATTTAAAATAACAATGATAATAATAAAAAGCATATACTTTGAAAAGTTCGTGAAAAAAGTTTCTGTTTTGTTTGGTTTTTTTTGTTGTTGTTGTTGTTGTTGTTGTTTTTTTCCCTGATTTTAAAGCAGCAAGTGTGATGTTGGCCAAGGTACCTGATGGCTTTCAAGTTAATAATGATGTAGTATCATAGCTAAACTAAATGGATGGTATTTGTGTTATACTATGTAGTAGTGCATGACAGTGATTACCGAACACCTTTGGTATATATATACGTTTCAACAGAGTGACATAGTTAGTGTAAACAAAATATTTAGAGCTGATCAGAGAGGAAAAGCTCTAGCTATTGAGATGCCTGTATAGCGCACTAGATGTGTAAATGTAAATTTCGTCTTAGCAGAAAGTGGCTGCAGTGGGGCACAGGAGGCCCTTGCAGAAAAATTAGAGGTCAAATGAAAATGGCATTTGTAAACGTTCTGCTGTCTTGCAACTTCAGCTACATGGTCATCTGGTGCGGGGTAGGAAGTTGAATATATCCTGAAGAGATGTGGAAAGGCCGACAATAAATTTCTTGGTTCCAGATGCTGCACAAGTTGATCATGTATAGAATTCAAAATATTAATGGTCGCAATAAAGTAAGGAAGCCAGCTAAAGCAGATACTTTTTATTCGTCCTGTAACTTGATGGGAGGATCCTATATGGGAGGGTAGGGGGTGGGGGAGGGGGAAGGAGGCTTATATAGAAGCTACTTGGTTAAAATTTCTGCACTCACTCGAAGCAAACATTATCTTATCAATAACTTTCCATAATTTTAGATAAAGTAGGCTTTTTTATATTTAGTTGATGTACATGTAAAGAAATAGACTCGCGGCTATCAAAATACTTCCCTATTGACATAGATGGTCTCCGAAACTCAAGGACTAAAGCAAATTGAATTACGACAGTGAAATTGAGAAATAGAAAACATGTACGCACCGTGTTTCTATCGTGTTATAGAGACACGAGTGAAAGTTTGGGAGAAAGAGAAATGCTAAGGGAAGGCGAGTGTTTCCACAGCTTTTTCTAGTTCTCCCAAACTTCCACGAGTGTGTTTCTATAACCGATAGTAACACGGAGAACATGTTTTCTACTTCTTTTAGAAAAATCCGCGACGAAAAAACGAGAAGCAACTTGTTTACTTTGCTCGCGCTAGTTCTGTGTTTCTTATCAAGTCATAGAAACACGATTTTAAACAAATCAGCGCACTTATTTTCTTCGGGCTCTTTTCTAAACATTAATAAAACAGTTTACATGGTCCATTGTGTCCCGTCGAGATTCTATTATTTGTTGGTACGGTGAGTTTTCAAATGGAACT